CTGTGAGGCAGCATTCATTACCAGGCAGCTTCAAGGGCAGGTCCATGCCGCTTTCAGCAGCATGTGATTCTTGAGGGCTCAGGGGCAAGTGGGAAGGAGTGGCCGGGTGGAGTGGCCCTTGTTCTCTGCTTGTTCCTTGCACCACTGGCATTTTCTCCTTGCCCTGTAAAAGGACGGCCTGAGGGAACTAAATTTGGGTGTGTAGTTTTGTGCTTTAACATTTGAATACCTTTATAGGGTACATTGTGTCACTTAACAATGTTCAATGTGTAATTTTCTAATTAAGGCAATAAGTATCTTCATTTCCTCCACAACTAATAATTTTTAATGTGATACTTTTTATTCCTTGAGAATTTCATACACCTATTCGATGTATGTCACCCTCATAGCTCCTTAACTTCATAGTTTGCCCTTTTAATCTTTTTTTCCTGAGGAAATGTCATATAGTCCATTTGAACATGTTCATTGCCCTTCCTCAACTCTTCCACCATCCCTAACCCACCCAACTTAACGTTCCCTCATTTAAGTGGAAAAACGGAACAAAACCTGGAGTCCTGTTGGCCAGGTACCCTTGGGCACTGGGCCTTCTCTGGTGTGTGGTCAGTACAGTTGTCACGTCATTGAGGAAAACTGATTTCCCCTCACCGAGCAGCAATTAAGTGTCACTAGCTCCTTAGCTAGGGCTAGGGTTTCATGCCCACCTCCCCTCCTGGGTGCTGGGGTTTTATCTGAGCTTGTGCAGGCCTTGTACATGCTGTCACGGTCTCCGAGTTCCTCTGTGGATCTGTCCCATTGTGTCTGGAAAAGTTTCCTTGACGTCATCCACCACCTCTGGTTCTTACCATCTTTTTACCTTTCTCCTCCACATCGACTCCTGCGCCTTAAGGGGAGGGGTGTGGCTTATCCTGTTTAGGGCTGAGCATTCCCACCTCTTATTCCGTGTGTGGTGACAGGTGTGGCTTCTCTCTGTTAAGTGCCAGCTACTGCCAGCAGGAGCTTGCCGCCCTTTTTATGAAGAGCGCACTGAGTCCAGTCAGTGTGGCCCGTGTACAGGTGGGCGTGGGGCCATCCACCAGGGTGCGCTCAACCTCCCAGGACTAAAGCACTAAAAGAAACTGATGCCTCTTCCAGGGAGCCACCGATATATCGCCTTTCAGTCGCTCCACAGCCAGGAGTGGGACATTATCCTGTGTTGAGACCTTTGTATTCACCTAGTCATTTTAAAATGAATCATTTGGGGGAGGGAGCACTTTTTGTTCTGTTTTCTGAGACAGGGTTTCTCTTTGTACCCTTGGCTGTTCTGGAACCTACTCTGTAGACCAGACTCATGGAGATCTGCCTGCCTCTGCCTCCGCTTGTGCCATCACTGCCCTGGCTTACTTTTTATTTCCTTTATCTGTGAGATGCTCAAGCTGGCCTTGAACTCAAAACAGTCCTCTCGCCTCAGCCTTCCAGGTGCTGAGAATACAGGTGCGAACACCTTACCGTGCTTTAACTGATAGCACCTCACTATGCCGAAGAAGAGCCAGAATTAATTACTGCAGTTTTGTGAGTGGTGTCCCTCATTGAATTTTCTATCCTCCCCAACCCTTCCCAGATGTGGACCACTGTTCCATTCAGTTCTACAGACTCTCAGTCTCCACAGGAGTGATAGCATAGTGTTTGTCTTTCTGGACCGGTTCAGTCAGCAAAAAGGTCTCCAGGTTATCGTCCATTACAGAGGGATGCTGAATCTTACCAAATGTTCCGTCCCTAACCACAGAAACGATCTTATGGTCTCTGTCCAGGAGTTTGTCCTGTCACGTTGATGAAACAGTCTTCATCACCATTCTATCAGTGGACGTGACCTGTAATGCTCACCCGTGGTCTGTGGCTAGTCGTTCTGTATGCCCTCTCGTGTTGATGAAAGTCTTTGTCCACTCTTCTGTCGGTGTGTCTGTCATGCTGTCTGTGCGTCCCGTCATGTTGGTGTTCTGTACATGTGGCAATGTCTTGCTTCCTTTGAATGCATCTCACTTGCTTATGGAACACGATCTTTGTGTTGTGCCATTGCGTTCAGCTCGTTTGCCTCCTGTTCTGCAGAGGTATTAGGGCTTTTTCAAGGTTATATCTTTATTCAGTTTGAATGCTGCCCGTGTGGAGAGTTTATTTTGTAGAATATAGGCACAAAGCCTTAAGGCCTGGGATGTTTTTTATTAGAACTTTTCTTTACTGCTTTGGGCTCTTTCCCATGTTCAATCTTCATTATTAATTTATATTCTGTTTTTTCTTCAGTTTTTATGTATAAAAGCATAATACGGTTTTTCTAGCTTTTCCAATGCTTTAGTATGTAGTTATTCATAATGAGTTACATTTTTAATTTATGTGTTGTATTATGTTTCTTTTTTCATAGCTGATTTGAATCATCACTCTCAGTTAACCTAGTTAAGGTTTGTCAATTTTTTCTATTTTTTTAAAAAAACATTTTTGGCTTAGTTTATACTATTCTTTTAATTTATATAATTATTTTATGTGTATGAGTGTTTTGCCTGCATGTATGTTCATACATCTTGTGTATGTAGTGCCCAGAGAAAGCAGAAGAGGGCATCAGATCCCGTGGCACTGGAATCAACAGTTGTGAGCTGTGGTACAGATGCCGGGAACCCAACCCAAGTCCTCTGCAAGAGCAGCTGGGGCTCTTAACTGCTGAGCGTTTCTTTAGCCTTGCGGGTTTGTCAGTTACATATATTGGTTATTGGCATTTCATCATATTTACTTGCTGTGGGCACTGCGGCATGTGTGGAAGCCAGCTCAGTCCTTCCACCACGTGGGTCCAGATATTACTGAGGCGTGATGGCAATCACCTTGACCTGCTGAGCCATAGGCCCGGGTTTGTCAGTTTTATTTATGATCTTATTTTCTTTCTGCTAATTTAGAGTTTGATTTTCTGCCTTTGAGAGGCATTGCTAGGTAGAGATCCAGTTTATTTAAAGATCTTGTGTGCACAGGGGGTGAGCACCTACCCACAGAGGCTAGAGGAGGGTATCAGATCCCTTGGAGCTGGAGTTGCAAGAAGTTCTGGCTGCTCTGGAGTCTTAATACTGAGCCACCTCTCCAGCCCCACTGTTTATCTGGATTTTCAGACAGGACGACAATGTCCTCCACCTCCCAGTGCTGTGCCATCCTGGGCCACCCCACCCAGCTTACGGTCTGTTTTAATAAATACATCAATTACTGTAAGCTTACCTTCAGTACTGCTTTTGCATTAGTCCACAGATTATGGTTGGCTTTCATTTTCATTTGTAAAGTTTTTTAAATTTTCAATTTTTTCAGTTACCATGGGTCCTTTAGGAGTGTTATTTGTATCTGTGTATTTTCCATTTGCTTCCTTGATGTGTAATCTTATTCCATTATCATCTCTTTGCTTAGGGCTTCATTGCTGTGAAGACACCATAACCATAGCAACTCCTATAAGGAAACCATTTAACTGGAGCTGGTTTACAGTTCAGAGGTTTAATCTATCGTCATGGTGGTAGACATGATGCCAAGTGTCACTAGGCCTAGCTTGGGCTTCTGGAACCCCAAAGCCGACCCCCACTGACACATTCCTCTAATAAGGCCACATCTCCTAATAGCGCCACTGCCCACGGGCCTATGGGAGCCATTTTTATTCAAACCACATTATCTAAGAAGACATAGAATTTCAAAACTTTCAGTCTCAACCTGTGGGTCAAGGTCTTCCTAGCTCTTTTATTCAGTGTGTAGTGAGTCAGTTTCTTGTAGGAAGCATTCAGTTGGAATTATTTCTTCATTTGGTTAATCTGTCTTTTGATTGGTGAATTTATCATATTCACATTTTAGGTTATTGCTAAATATAATCCCATCTGTCAACTACATTCTGCTTTTTGTATATGTATTTGTTCTTTTGTGCCTCTTTTATTACTCAATCTTTGTGATTTGTTTTCCTCACGTATACTTGTTAGATTCTCTTCTCTTTTGTATATATGTTCTTCTACTGGGTTTTATAAATGTGTGCTTTTCAGGATAGCGGTTATCACCTTTTCATTTCTAGTGTCCGCCTCCTTTAATATTTCTTGCAGGGCTGATCTGGTGTTGCCTATCTTGGAAATGCTTTATTCTTTCAGTTATTAAGACTAACTTAAGGGTATCATATGGGACGTCTAAGTGTTATTTCTTTCAGTATTCTGAATGTAGTTTCTAGCCTGTAATGTTTCTGTTGAAAAATCTGCTTTAATATTAGTGGACCCTCATTTATAGATGACTTGACACTTTTTTTTTCCAGCTACGGTTATGATTCTGTCTTTGTCTTATACTTGTGATATATTGTCTATAATAACCTTGGTAATGATCTCATCTGACTGAATCTAATTGAGGTACTTTGAGCATCTTGAATCTCTTTGGCTTGGGAAATTTGGGGCTATATTCTGTGAAATAGGTTCGTTTGTGGTGATGTCATCATCTTTAATGTCAGCAGTTTCTGTATGCTGTGATAGACCTCAGTGGCTCCTGAAGGTAGCTGCAAGACTGGACAACACATGCGGGCTTGCAGAGCTGCTCGGAGGCAATCCCTCAGAGCTGGGGCCTGGTCAGCTGCCAGTCTGTGGTGCAGATATAAAAAGAACTGTTCCTAAATTCCTCAGATCAAGCACAGGTGACTATATATCTTATGGTACCAGGAACCTACAGATCCTGAACCATAGGACATGGAGCCCCAATAGGTCTTCGTGCCTAGGACTTACAAGATGAATATGGAAAAGAGTCATTCAGCATTCACTAGCAGGGTCAGCTACAGTGACTACTGTTATTTTTAGTTAACTATCATTATAATCATCAAGTGATCAAGAACATCTAAGAAAAAGATCGTACACTCAAGAGCAAGCAGTACGACAGGTACCCCTGTGTTGGTCTCCTTCAGGAAAACCTGATTTGGTTGTTGGAACCATGTCAGTACAAAGAAGATGAGGACCAAGTTTTAACCCCTTCTGCTCTGCTTGTTGTAGATGGAGCAGATGAGGAGCGAGCTACTTCAGGAGAAAGCTGCCAAGCAAGATTTAGAGTGTGACAAGATTTCCCTAGAGAGACAGGTGAGGACGGCCGGTTCCAGGAGCTCCCGCCTCCCGCCCCCTCATGTTGGGCTCCCTGGTATTCTCCTGTGGGAATGTGGTAGGGGCTTTCCCTACCCCAGGCTCAGTATGTGGAGCGTTGAGGTAGGCTGGTGTTCATGCTCACTCTCAGAGTCAGCCCTTCTCAGAGGCTGACTCTCAAGTTCAATGCTGGCGGCCCAGGTAGTTCTCATGAGTGGGCAGAAGGCTCCAGTTCAGTGAGACTCCTAACTGACAAGGTGACTCACAGAGAAACTGGCTCCAAATGTCCTCCTTATGGTGGACTCAGCAGTCAAAAATGATTTTTAACACAGTATTTTAAAATGATTGTCATCAACGGTGAGAAAGCCATCAACGTGAGAGGCTTGAACTCCAGTGTAAAGGGAATGGAATATAGTCACATTAAAAAAGTCAGACTGAGAAGGAGCAGTCACATACTATTCCTGTCAGTCCATCACTGAACAAACTGGTAAAGTGGCTGCTGCCCCTTTCCCCTGTCTCAGGGGTGTCTGCACATGCCTGCCTCTTTCATCCAGGCTCATTAAGACAACATCTTAGAGCTTCTTCCTTTGACCTGCTAAGACCTAAGTTCAAAGGTATTCCTTAGAACCCATCTCTGGGATCCCTGGGTGCCTAGGCACTAACTGAATTCCTGATTCGATTTAGTATGCTTCTGCCCAAAGAGCGTCTCAACCAAGTCCCTCACAGGCTCCCTCTTTGGTTCCAGAACAAAGACTTAAAGAGCCGGATTATCCACCTGGAAGGTTCCTACAGGTCCAGTAAAGAGGGCCTGGTGGTGCAGATGGAGGCCAGGATTGCAGAACTGGAGGACCGGCTGGAGAATGAAGAGAGGTGAGCCCAGCAGGAGCGGGGCTGGGGGCCAGGTAGGCACTGGTCACTCATTAGGGCTGGTGGATTGGGGGCTCTCCTCTTTTTATCAGCCCTCATGAAATACAGAGCCAAGGCCAGCCTTGCAGTCATTTCCATTTCTCAGACAAAAACAGTGAGCTCCACCAAGGTGGGCGATGATGAGGTGGCCTGGCTATGCACTGTGCCTGGACTGAAATGTAGGAGTGGATTGGCCACTCTCTGCATCCCATTAACATAGTGGGCTGCTTTGTAAGCTGTTGAGTTTGGGCCAGATTAGAGGCAGGGGGCTGCCCTGGCTCTGAGGGCAGGTGCATCCAAACAGAAGGTACCAACTTCCTACCAGTGAACTTGACTAGCCCCACAACCTTCCTTGAAGGTTCCTGGCATGTCTGGAGTGGCCTTCAGTAAGATTTCTAAGTCTGGCTGGTATGGATCCCAATTACAGGTAGTGTGGCGATTCTTTGCTCCAGAAGTTAAGTTCAGCAGTGGAAGAACTCAGGACCCTGCTGAATTCTGGCCCTTTCTGGGGTTCCATTTCTCCTCCAGTGGTGCCAGCAGCCTCTTCTTCCTGTGCAGTTGTTTTTCCCTGACCCTGAGATGCCCAGGCACCTGTGGCTGGGGCGTCCCAGCTCCCCCTTCCAGCCTGGGCTTCCAGCGAGGCTGAGAATTAGAGGTTGTGTTCTGTGCCGCCTTCTCTACTCCCAGGGACCGGGCCAACCTGCAGCTCAACAACCGCAGGCTGGAGAGGAAGGTGAAGGAGCTGGTGATGCAGGTGGATGACGAGCACCTGTCACTGACTGACCAGAAGGACCAGGTGAGGCAGCCTCTGCCTTCTCTCAGACGGCATTCTGCGTCCCCGGCCGAGACAAGGGGACACCCACCGAGCCCCTGCCCCACACACCCCTCAGGTGCTCCCACTTCTGCTGTGTGTCAGGGTTCCCTGGGAATTAGCTGGGTCCCTGGCATCTCCTGCTCTGGCTTTTCCACTTGGGCGTTCAGCTAACACTCAACCTCCATCTTCCATCATGTAGCTGAGCTTGCGCCTGAAAGCCATGAAGCGCCAGGTAGAAGAGGCCGAAGAGGAGATCGACAGACTGGAAAGTGCTAAGAAGAAGCTGCAGAGGGAGCTGGAGGAGCAGATAGGAGTGAATGAGCAGCTGCAGGGCCAGCTCAACTCTATGAAGAAGGGCTTACGGTGGGTAGAGGGAGTGGCCCACTGAGGCCCACAGCCTCCCCTGAGGCCTGTAGGGGGCTCATTCCACGCTTGAGGTGAAAGTGGCTGTGTCTGCTTGAGTCACCTGACATGTTTAATGCGGTCTTACATAAGCCACTCTCACACCAGTGTTAGGCAGAACCTGAGGCACAGAGAGGCTCTGGTGTCCCCACCACCATGGAGGAGCATCCCTTAGCTGTCTGGAGAGCACCGTTCTCATTTATGTACTTCTAAGAAGGAGGATCTTCCAACTGCTCTGAGGAAAGCTGAAGGATGGGGCTAGAGGAAGGTTTTCCCTACCCCGGGACCAGTGTGGGGTATTGAGATGAGGGGTGACCCTAGGTTCATGCTCGCCAGAGCTCCAGCCTTCTGCGGAGGCTGTGTGGGCCTGGGGTTGAATGCTGTTGCTCCAGGTAGCTCTCACAAGCTGGAAGATGGCTCTAGCTCACTGACAACCCTACCACACAGGACCGAGAACTGGTCCCAGGGCCAGCAGTAGGATGCAGCAGTTAAGAACTCACAAGATAATGTTTTGGTCAGCTATTAAGACATTACGGTATGAGGCTGGCTCAGTTGGGCCAGTGCTTGTCTCACGTGCAGAAGGCCCTGCGCCCTGTCCCTACCCACCCATAAACTAGATGTGCTGACACATGCCTGTGATCTCAGCATTTAAGATGATCACACTTCAAGGCCATTCTGGGCTGCATATGCTTGAGAGCAGAACGGGCTACATGAGACCCTGTCTCAGAAAAGAAAAATATTGTATATGATTCATAGTGAAGAAGCAGCACCCTGACCAGCCATTATTAGAGTTAGGCAAAAAGGGAAATCCGTTCACTGTTCGTGGCTCACCTCATCAAAACTGATCAGGAAGACTAGGTATTTTGCACCTGTTGCTAAGGAAAAGGTCTGGTGCTGGCAAATTCACCCTTATGCATGCTGCGGGATGGAGGGCAGGAGCCCAACACCCTTTCCTCCATCTCCAAATCGAAAGCCAGCCAAGAAACATCTCCTCTGTGCTTCCGCAGGCTTAAGACACTGCCCAGTAAAGTACTGGATGACTCAGATGATGACGACCTCAGCAGTGACGGAGGAAGCCTCTACGAAGCCCCACTGAGCTATGCCTTTCCCAAAGACAGCGCCATCACCAGCCAGATCTGAGTCCGCGTCCAGGCCTGTTGATCCTGACAGGCCTCTGCAGCCATCCAGAGCAGGCGGCAGTAAACATGGGCCTGCGAATGGAGTCAGGCCCACGGTTACCAGCTCACGTTACTCCCCAAGGCCTCCAGGTGGCTGAGTGGCCCAGGATCTGAGGTCGGGAACTGTTGAAGGTTAAAATGAGCTAACTGGGCCGTTTTGGGCAAGACAAACCCTTTTGTGCATCGCCATCTGCCATCACCCCTCCTCCTACCCTGAGAAGGGCGCCAAAACGCCAGCTGAAATGTTACATAGCCACATGCAGGGATGCAATGGCGTAGTGACTGTACCTGTCTTAAACCAGGCCCTCCTAGGACTGCTGCGGTCTACTTCAGACTATCCCAGAGCCCTTGGGGGGTGACACCTCGGTAAGGTTCACACCCGGATCTCATCTTTTAAATTAGGAAGCTCCCAGATCTCGAGCATTAAAGAGCAGAGGCAAAGGAGGAAGAATGAAGGCTACTCTGGAAGTTGAGTGGCGAGGTGTCAGAACCTCAGCACTGGGAATCGTTACGTGGGTCACATGGGAAAAGAGCTCGTTGGCGGTTGGGGAAGGACTTTTACCCAGGACTGAGTCTGTGCCCTTGTTGCTTATTTTATCTGAACCGTGCTAAGAACAGTTCCCGCTCCCCAGTTTCTTTCAAGCAAGTGGAAGAGGGAGACAGAAGAGATTGTAATCAAGTGCTGTGCTTCTCGAAGGCCAAGAGCCCTGTTGTTGTGTCTCCTCAGCCCTTTTCCTCCATGACAGACCTCCAAGCGAAGCTTGCTCAGGCCTGGGACTGGAGGAGTAGGAGGGGCCATGAGACAAGGTTTATGGGTTTAGATATGAGACTGAGAAGGGAGGTACCCAGTAAGCTCCTGGGGAGAGGGAGAAAGAGTAAGTGGGCATAGGGCTGGCGTAAGAGGGAATACAGACAAGTTCTTGAAAGCTGGGGAATGTGCAAGAAGGGAAGGTGGGGGCTGAGCTAGAGCTTGGAATGATGGGAGGAAAAAGAACTTGGGGTGCTTGCCATCTGAAGGGCCTTTCCAGGAATGAAGTGACAGAAATGCTGAGGTCCAAGGACAAGCACATGATGCCAAATGGCCTTGGGGGGGGGTTGCCGGGCATCTGGCATATCTCCTGGCCTACTACACTGTGACAATCACTAAGGAAAGAACTTTGCTAATTGGCTGTGTGTATAAGGCAGAGGTGGCAGGACCCCAAGCTTCCTGATATGGACTCCTGGGGACCAGGTTACCGTGAGGTCTTGTCCGCTGCAGGTTACAGAGTTCACCCAACCAGATTTAAAGTGAAGGGATCTGAAGGATGAACATTTGCTACCAGAGAACCAGGCCCTATTTACACCTCACTGGGGTCACAGTCTCCCTCAGCACAGCTGGGCATGGCCCTTGCCTCTGTTTCCTCACTGGGTATGGAGAGATTTCTCCTCTCAGCCATTCCTCCATTTGACAAATATGTACTGTCCATCAAAATGTGCGAGGCATAGACTTTGGCACTGGAAACACAGTAAGTAGAAGTGTCTGTTGGGTTGGGGATGTAGCTCAGTTGGCACAGTGCCTGCCTGGCATGCAGAGAGCCCTGTGTTTAATACCCAGCTCTACAAACCAGGTATATGGTACTGCATGCCCGAAACCCCAACACTCAGGAAGTGGAGGCAGGAGAATCCAGAGTTCCAGGTCATCCTGGGATATGGAAGACCCTGTCTTCCTGTAGCCATCCAGGAGAGTGTGGGTGAACCTCTACCCAACATTCGAACCCTCTGTCCTCTTGGGAACTTGAGAGCCTGCAGCTGGTTGTCCAGCTCCCCAGAACTCACTCACAGGAATTCTTTGGCTCCTAGAGTTTTTTCATGCCACCCTTAGATACATAGAATAAGCCTAGAAATGCCTCAGCCTGCTTAACCCCAGAGAGTCAGGTGAGAAAAATCAAGACATTGAGGAAGGATTGTTTGCCTGGGGTGTGGGGAACAGCCTTCATTTTCAGTTCTCCATGGTAGCCACAGGGAAAACAAGCCACATCAAGGAAAACCAATCCTGAAAAGGAGAACAGAAGCCACCACTGGAAACACTTGGGGAGTCACCCCCTTGCCAAACAAGGAGGCTGGGCAGGTTGAGGGACCGTCTCCTGTGCCATTGTGGAGTGGACAATGAGGGGAGTATGCACAGTACAGCTGACGGCACGACACTGGACTGAGATTTAGAGAGATGTTTGCAAACCCCAGGTTCATCTCTTCCCTGTGACCGTAACAGGTGCCTCCTAAGACAGGGTGAAGGTTAGGGCCCTGGGTCCTTCTCAGCTTGAACCTGCAGCCATTCCTTGGTATATATATATGCAGGTTGTTCCGTTTATTGCCTTAAGAACTAATCCTGCTCAAGAGCATTTTCTTTAGCTAGCTTAAAAATATTTTGTGTAAAAAAAAAAAAATACACGTTGCCAAATGCAATGCTCAGAAGACAATCGCCTATGGCTTTTATAAAAAAAAAATTCCCCTGCTTGAGAGTGTCACTCCACCATGACAAGTGGTCTACCCTGATGGGGTTTGGTTTTTCGGTAGGGACTGGTTACTATGCATTGTCATGGGGAAGAGACCTTTTTATCACAGCTACCTCTGTGGAAGCGACTTCATGGATAAAGCAAGATTTCCTTTCAATAAACTGTCACCCGACAGGAATCGTGGCTCTTGTATTATTTTCTGTCCTTTGATTTCTGTGGAGGGAGTTTGGATGTTATGCAAGCACGAGGACCTGGGTTTGAGCCCCAGAACCCCAAATAAGAGAGGCAAGCGTAGTGGCACACAGCTGTGGTCCTTGGGGAGATGGGAGCCAGGTGGCCCCGGGGGGCTTGTTGGCCAGCCACCTGAGTGGAATTAGTGAATTACAAGCCAGAAAGAAAGTCCTGATGTAGATGCCAGGAGCCACAGTGGCTGTCCAGCCCCAGGGCCTGTTTGGGGGATAGAGGGATGTGGGTGGTCAGCCGGGAATGTTGATGGATGACCGTGATGCTCAGAGACCTCCAAAAATCACAAAGGAAATTTGCTCCTGCTTGACAGCTTCCTTTGCCAAAGTTGGCTGGCTCCCCTGCAACCACTGTTTCCATGATCCCTCTTGCTCTCATAACAGGCTCCCCATGGTCTCCATTTCACATACATGAGGCTGGAGCCACCTCTCCCTAGAAAGGAGTCCCCGCCAAAGGGCTCACACTTCCCTGTGTCAGCTGTCTGCATTCTGACCCCAGGGGGCTGATCTCTAGACTCCAGCTTCCTGAGGGTGACCGGTTTGGCTGGGCTGCAGGTAGAACTCTGGGTATTTCTCTGTGTGCAGCAATCTTGGGTGTGCCCCCTGGGACCTGGGAGGCCCACCTGTCCGTTGTACCTTTCTTTCTAAAGGTAGCCGCTGTGGCTCTCTGGATCTCTTAGTGTCCTTCCTGAATTGTGCAGTCTGCTTGCTTCCTATGGCTGCTCTTCCTTGAGCCCTTTAAGTCACATCTGGTCCTGTTTTCTCCCCCAAGTATGCAAACACATCCAGCTACTCTGCAACTATCGCTCCCCCACATTCAAAGCAGGAACAACTCCAAATGCGGGATGTTTGGATTTTACAAGTTCCCAAAGCCTTCACATAAATTGTATCTGTTTTTGCAAAGTCAGTTATTGAGGCGCAGTTCCATAATTTGTAAAGAAAATCTTCCTGCCCAGCATTTAACTTTCAGACTGGTCATAGACCTCGTTACCTCCTGCCGGCATCCCCTGGATGAGAATAAGGTTCTGAGGGGCTCCTGTTCCTGAGCTGTGAGCTGTGTTCAGGAAGCCCAGAGTGAAGGAGAAAACAAAAAAGGCAAAGTCCTCCCAGGACTGTCTGTGCTGCCTTCCCATCACATTCCTGACATTCCACCCTTGACCTTGTGGATATTCCCAGTAATCCTGTCTCTCTTAGACAACTCATTAAATTTTTTTCCCCCTCCAATTAAAACAAAACAAAACAGAACAAAAAACCCCAGCTTAATAACAAGATCCTTTGAGGGGCTTAAGAGCTCCCAATCCAGAAATGCCTGCCCTTCCAGAAGAGTCAACACACCTGTCCACTGTTCCCAGACCGGCTAAACAACGGTCTGGTTTGTTGATCCAAGACCTGGCATAAACCTCCATCAAGCAACACTGATGAGAGGGAGGGGGAGGAGGGAGGAAGAGGGGTGGAGAGAGAGGGAGAAAGAGGGGAAGAGAGAGAAAACAAATGTGTGTCCTTGTTTTATAAAGACGAGACAACATTGTTCTGAAAGTCATTCAACACAAGAGCTACTGCATGCCGGAAGGCACAGGTTTCCCACAGGCAGACCCTGTCAACTAGGTCTCACCACAGAGGGGCAACAACTGCCAGACTTTCTAGAGCCTTGCTGAATAAATACAGCCCTTCTAGAGGATGGTGGAGACTTTGGCAAGGCCGGAATCCTGACCTTGGGCAAGTTTCGCATTTTGCTGCTGGGCACGCTTGGAAGCAGCAGCTGGTGCACTTACAGAACCTGCCAGCAGGGGGCAGGAGTCAGTGCTAAACTGTCCGTCAGGGACCCCTGGGAGCCAGACAGTGGCCGTGACACAGTGTGATTAAAAAGGTGGCGATAGAAGTTGGACACCGAGTCATTTGTGACGGTTATTTTCATGCTGGTTGCCTGGTTTTCCTTCTGCTTTGCTGCGCCCTCTGCTCAGCTTCCTCAGGCTGTGCAGGGACCAGTGTATCCCGGCTTACTGGCCGTGTACTACACAGCGCGTGCCCACTCATGACCACCTGGTGGGGCACGCGAGACGTCCTAGCGGCACATATAACCTTGCCAAAGGCACAGGGCAGGATATGGACCCTTAGGACTAAATCCGGGCCAGGCTCTGGAGCGCGTTCTCCGCTCATCCCGCCAACCTCACATTCCTGTCATTCCTGCGGGGTACGAGCACCGGTGCCCTCCCTGCGCTTCGAGCACCCCTGAGCTTGTAGGTTCAGGCCACTTGGCCACCTGCTGCCTGCTTCTCCTTAGTGCAGCCGCCAGAGGTCGCCAGAGATCACGGTAACCCTTGACTTTCCGGGTTTTGTTTTGTTTTTTTTTTTTTTTTTAGGCTAGTGAACTGGCAGGCTGGGGCGGTTGGCAGCTTCAGAGCTCTGGTTTTATTGGGATAGGCCCTGCTGAAGCCCTAACCTGGCTTCTCTGTGCCTGATCGGGGGGGCCGCTCTGGGTGGTCACTGGGCCTCTTATTGTCCCGCTGGTGGTTTTTAGGCAACGTCAGCAAGTCCCTGAGTGTGGGTGGTTCTTGTAGAACTTACCTTGTGGTGAAAACCTAACAGTGCATAGCGCTAGAGTGACTGTCACAGAACACTGAGCATCATGCCACGGCCTCGAAATTCACAGCAGCTCTTGCAAAGCGAAGCATGGTCCTCACAGATCACTCGGAATCAACTGAGCTCACAGGAAAAGCTTTCCCTGCGGGGAGTGGGCTGCAGCGTCCCTGCTAAGCCAGGGGAGCAGTCACAATTAGGGGTGGAGGACGCTCTGGCTGGGCAGGGACTGACCTGTGACCAGGATGGCTGAATCCTGCGGACCCCTGAGGAAGCCTGAGGACTTCAGACAGTTCATCTCGGGAGGAGTTGCCTCTGGCCCCAGCCCTTCTCCGGTAGTGAGCTTCCACCTGTGGACACAGGATTCTGGCCTCAGTATAGCATGCTGTGAAGTAGGAAGTGAGCACAGTTTGGGGAACTAACAGGTGCGCCAACCCAGAACCCCACAGTCTGATCAGCTTTGCCCCAGAAGTGTTTTTGGGGCAGTGAGAATTATTTTCAAAAATTTTCTTTTTCCCAGTCAGGGTCTCATGCAGCTGAGGCTGGTCTTGAACTTGTACTATCTAGCCAAGGATGACCTTGAACTTCTGGTCTTCCTGCCTCCACCTCTCAGGTGCCAGGATTAGAGAGAACTGACCCCATGGCCAGCTATTTGACACTGGATCGAAGCCAGGATCTCATGCACAGTAGGCTTGCATGGTAAGCAAGTGCTTTGCCATTCCCAGCCTGGGGATGAGTCTTTACTGACAAACTGTCTTTACAGTGAAGAAGCTGCAGTTAGGCAAAGTCTAGACTCCCCCTTCACATGGCTGGGAACAGATGCAGAGAGAAAATCTGCTCAAGGTCATCAACAAGGACACAGTGGGGCTCGGTGAAACCACAGCTCTGTCGTTCCTCACCACAGTCTAGAATATCCTTGTACTGGGCCTGTGCTCATTCTGTTGCCCTTCCCAGTGGGTACTGCTGACTTCCCTAGGCACAAAGGCTGAGTGGTTTGCTGAGGCCGCCAGCCCCTGGCCTCTGAATGGAAGTCTTCCTTTTGGAGCCTGAGGCCTTCAAGTGTAAGGCAGACAGTGTGCTCTCCTCCTCTCTGCAAGCCCCCTCCCTGCCTCCTGCATGCTCGCAGGCTGTCTAACTCACTGTGTTCTGTCTGGCTTGTCTAGGCCAGGCTTTTCTGGAAATGGGCTTAGAGAGTGAGACAAACTTGAAGCCTTCAGTTGAATTCTTTCCTGTTTGGGGACTGACTGATGAAATGGCCAATCCAGCTCTTTCCTTTGAGACAGGGTTTCTGTGTTGTCCTGGCTATCCTCAAACTCAGAGCTTCACCTGCCTCTGCCTCCAGAGTACTGGGATTAAAGGTGTGTGCCACCACCATCAGGCAGTCAGTTTGGTTTTATCTTGGTGGCTTGGGCTTATGTTTCATCTAACCCTGTCCATCATTGGCCATGCTCACTGCAAACCAAAGAAGAGCTCTGTGAACCCAGCCAAGCTCCCTCTGGGACTCTTGACTCCTCGTGTCCCTGACATCTCTCTCCTGAGAGGCTTCTCCTGGCTTCTAAGAAACTAGAAAACAACTCTGCTGTCTTCCCCTCATCTGCAGTCTCCTCCTTTGGTACAAGAATAGTGTAAACCCCTGAGCACTGGTTCCTGGTTTACACATGGATAGCTGGCTAAACATCATTGGGTTGTAGAGGAAATAAATCAGTCTCGCCACAGTCTCCTAGACTTTATAACAACCTGTTAGCTTATGTCTGTATGCTTCATTGCTTCTGAATTCTTTGGTCCTTACTAAAGTCCAGTGACCTCCTCAAGGTCCTGTGAAAAGGTCAAGCACATCCAAGGTGAAGGTCAGGGCTTTAACCGCTTGCAAGAGTCAGTGGCACTGAGGCTGAGCGCTGTGCCCCTCCTCCAATTGTCACCTGGGTGTGTGCTTTTGAGCAGTGCCAGTGTATAGCTAGAGCTTGCTTCTCACACAGTAAGAGTCCCAACCTCAGGAACAGACTTTTAAGGCTCCAGATACGAGGAAGACAAAAAAAGGTACCACAACAATGTTACAGATCTCTGGGAAGAGTTTGGTTCATTTTGTTGAGGTATCGACACTAACCACACTCAACAGCTGCTAAGCTGGGGAAGGTGGGATGTATCTTGTAACTCCAACACTTCAAAATCTGGAGCTTCCAAATCATGTATAATCCAGGTGTGGGATGACCTTCCAAAGTATGCAAAAATTTAAGCATCATTAGGCTTATCCTACTAGAAACTGATAAAGAAGTCCTCTATCTGGAAGCTACTATTATAAAATAAAGGCACAAAAGATTAAAACTGAGTGAGCAAAGCACATATGCAGCTGAGAGAGAAA